TCTTTTCAGCCTTATTCTAAATTTTGTGGACGGATAGTATCATACTAGCAATACTTGTATCGCAGTTAATTTTTAAAATAAATATAAAAATATAAAATGTTGTAAAAAAAATATGGTAACTGCATATATAAAGTAAACGAACATAATGTTTAAGAGTACTTTAAATATATGACTATGTACAACACTTAATAAATATTACGTAAATATTATAAAAATATGAGCTTTTGCTCATTGTTGAAGTTGGTATACTTCTAATTCTGGAATATACGGTTCTGTAATTGAAGTGATTGGACAAATACTTAAAGTGTCCTGAAATATAAAACATGAAGAAATATGTATTAAGGAAAAGATATGTTATGTTTAATATAAAAAAAACAATTACAATTAATATTTACCAATCTTATAAGTTCTGAAAATGTTGGTCTTTCTCGACTGTCCGTGTGCCAGCAAGATGACATAACTTCGTAAAGTGGATCAGGAGTATCTATTAATTGAGGTAATCTAGATCCTTGTTCAATTGCTTCTTCTACTTCACTGTCAAGTGTAAAATTAGAATATGGTGTGCCACCCATGCTGAGCATTTCCCATAAAAGCACACCAAAAGCCCAAACAACACCCGGAATGTGTTTCTTTTTATTACCAAGACTTTCAACAGCTGTCCATCGAGTGTACTTAATTTCTTCCAATGCATATTTCGAAATGCCATGACCCATGACTTTAGGTGTCCAATCATTGCAAATACCTATGCTTCGTGCACATAGGTGATCATGTACAATTTTACAATTTTCAAGATGTTGCAAAGCTGATGCTATCATGGATCCCATAGGCAGTATCTGATTAACTGGAAATATATTTCCAGATCTTGCAGCTATCAATCTATTCTTCAAAGTCTGAAGTGGTAATTCAAGTACAACATACAAAGTATCTTGTGTTTCACAAGTTCCTACAAGATCTGCAAGGTATTTCATTGGAGAGGCTCTAATACAAATATCTAAATCTCTTAACATTCTTCTTTTATCGGATGATTTTAATAATTTGTCTGCTATATTATGAATAGCTACTGTAGAAGTTGTACCGTCTTTCTCGACTGTACCTGTGTGGATAGTACCAAATCGTCCTCTATGTATTACAGTGTTATTAATTGTTAATACATTTTGTGGTATAGCCCATACTTTATCTTTTAATTCTTGATAATGATTAACTCTTTCAGGTACATCATCTGGAATGTATGCTATATTCTCAACTTCATATAGTGGTCCTTGCAGTGTAAGTTCTTGTTGCTCTGGAAGTTTTGTCATTCGAAATTTTTCATGGCGTCTCCGTAAAGCGAAATATAATACTACTGAAGCTATTAAGAGTGCTCCTAGAACTCCAATTGCAACACAAAGAACAATTGTTATGGCATCCATTTCATTATTCGCATTCACGCTATAATTTTTCATATTAGTGAGTAGATCAGAATAAGCAAATTGTTCTTCCCTTTGAAATCTAGAAACTACCGCTAGGCCTAATCGTGGAACAATCTGAGTATTCAAAGGTGCATTATAATAACTCCCAATCATTTTACCATCTCCGACTATAAACTTTTTGTATTTATAAAAGTCAGAGGATATAAATTCTCCTGTGATATAATATCCTAGCCCTCGCTGTATTGATTTTTCATAATTATAGTATGTAATGTTTGGTCCTGATGGAGGTATTACACTAGGCTGAACAACAAATACTTGATATGCACTAATAGGCCCATAATCACTACTCCCTTCTGAGAGTAATACAGTCATTGTAGTGCTTGTTTGTCCTATCACTTTTGGAATAGCAGGTTTATTAGGTGGAGCTATTAGTGTCCACCCTGAAACATAAGCAGGCTCACTACTTCCTTGAGTATTTTTAGCAACAATAGATACATTATACTTAGTCCCAGGTTGTAAGCCTTGCAAAATAGTGGTGTTTGAAGCTTCGCCTTGCACTTGACTTTCTATTGTTGGTAACAAATCAGAAGCATGTGTTTGAATAACCGATGCCTTTAATGTATAAAATGTAATATTTCCATTAGATATATCTGGTGGTTCCCATGTAATTTTTAAGTTAGTAGGTTTACTGCGAACTATCTGTATACTCCTTGGTGGGCTAGGACCTTAAATGTTGATATTATCCTTATATTAAAATCATGAATATGAAATGTTAATAATTTTTTACAATACTTTATAAAGGTACCTTTCTGTCCTGTGGAATATATACTCATTGCATCTTCACTACCACAATAATTATTTGGATCCGCGGTGCAAGGAAGGGCACAAGAGGTAGATATACCATGTCTTCCATAATTACTACCGCAAAAACATTGTTGACCATTCATTAATCCAGCATACCTAACGAAGTACATATAAAAGATATTTGTGTTATTGTTTTGTTTATCATCAACGCATAAAAATGTACTACTGTAATACTTACATATAGTAACGTGATCGACATTCTTTGATACATTCCGCTGGTATGCTAGCGTGACTTAATATTAGGGTTGGTAAATCGGGATCTAAGACGGAACTTTGAAAACAACCCTCGTATTTTTGACTAAGTACATGCGCGCAAAAATAAAAAAGTAACGACAAGAGTATCATTGTAAATTGTATAAGAATATAATACAATTTTTATAATATCTTTTTCATCGATGACACTAAGCACCAAGTATAAAACGAAACATTCTTTATGAATGCGTTACCCACATCTGAATCAATAAACGAATTGTGTCACTACTACTACACTGTGGATGAAAGAACGAGATTCATTGTAAATTGTATTTTATTGTTTCTTACAATTTGACAATATTGCCTTGTAACACTTCTTGCCATGTCTATTTGAAATTTGAAATGTTCATTAAATACTTGCAGTGAATCAGAAAAATGTAATTTATAAGAAAAAACTTCACGGGCGTGGTTGCATTATTCAGGATCTGGGTAGGGCACTCTTGAGTCTAGAGGGAAAAAGCCGCCTAGATGCATATTTATCGAACACGCCACTAGGAGCATTGAAATTATCATTTGCAACAGTGATATTAGTATCTTGGTAGAGTGTAGGGTCTGTGGCGTACATAGATGCACATGCGCAATCATTTGGTGACAGGGTTACGATTTACGATTCGAGATTTAGATCAGGGGGGCTTGACTCTTAGTAAATTTTTGGGACACTGTTTGGCTGCCATCTGAGCTAGTTGCAAACTTGGACGAACTAAAATTCAATATGGCGATTTAGAAGCGATAATTTAAATTCTAGATTTTAGAGCCAGAATGTATCAAGTACATTTTTTTCGAAATTAATTATGTACACCATCATAAAAACTAAGAGAAGCAATATAATGTGGTGTACATAACCTAATTTCGAAAAAATTTACTAACACATTATAACACAGAGGAAAAGAAAATAATCAAAGTTAAAAACTAATATGGGAAAAAAAGTTTTTGTTTTCTATTTTATCGATGATAGAATGGATGAATGTAAAAGAATCTAAAATTAAAATATATGTACTTTAAATACTATTACAAAGATATTTTATGTTCAGTATATCTGTTCACTGCAGTTTGCTGATTAGTTTGCGGCCAGCTTGGCTTTGTTCAGAATGGCGAGAATGACGTTCGTCGGTACATAGTTTACCACAGTCCATCGAATGCGCATGCGGGCGGGAAGCCATATTGAATTTTAGTTCGTCAAAGTTTGCAGTTAGCTCAGATGACAGTCAAAAAAGTGACTGAGACTAACAATAAGATTCGAGACGAGATACTTTATCGAGACCAGGCCTTCCAGACGAAAGGTAGTTCTTGAAATAAGTGAGAGTGAGGAAGCGAAATTGGGAAATAGCGAAAGCAAGTGCGCGAGTTACTACCTCACTCTTACTCATTCTAAGAACTGCCTCTCGTTTACTCTCTTCCTGGTCCAGTCGAGACTGACTGAGACTGCGATTGCGCGCAGACACCCCGCGTTCCCCTCACAAAACACCGGCTATGCTTGATCTCGATCCATGGCACTCGCGAAGCGAGCAAGGCGCAGGCGCGATCGATCACCGTCGTTTATATATTATAATATGTAATATACGAGTATCTAATATACATAGTGTTTTAAGAATAAATATATTACGACTATTAAGTATGGTATCGGTTTTTGGAAACCCGTTCGTCCTCTATCACTGTCCTAGTTGGAACTCTTAATATTCAGAATTATAAATTTCTTTTAGGAATCTTTATATATTTAACGATTAATATTCTCATTATGCTATTCATTAATTTTAATGCATTTTTATTTACTTAATGAAACGATACATTTAAATGTTAGTAGAATATTAACATTTGTAATAGTTATTAATGTAAAATTATGCTCGCATGAAGGAAAATTACAAAGATAATTCTATTAACGAAATTTGATGAACAACATAATATTATGGAAGAAAATACAAATGCATGTGTATTTATTGAATTACAATACATTTTTAAGTCTTTAACAACACTGCTTTTGTGGCACAGGTACATGTAACTTAAGAAGATACAGATACATTATTATAAACTTACGACAAAAAAATCACTTTCGTC